AGAAAGAGGGACTCTTTATGATGAACTCTTTCTTCCAGAAGTGGCCCCACAGGAAGTGGACCTGGTCGAGCTCCGATGGTTCGACAAAATTGAGATTGACTTCATTATGACGACCAGACGACAACTGTTCAGTGATGTTTCAGTGATAGCGAGGATGAAAACTGGTAGCGATCACCGAATGGTTAGAGGCACACTGAACCAAAACTTTAAGTTGGAGAGGTCTCGTCTAATGAAGTCAACGCTCCGTCCCCCTCGTGCTCTGTTCCAAAGGCCCGAAACCTTTCAGCTCGAGTTACAAAACTGTTTTCAGTGCCTGGAAAACTGCAATGAAGTGGACGATATAAATGATAAGCTCGTGGAAACTGTCCATGCGGTCGAAGCAAAGTTCTGTAAGACCCACCGCAGAAGAACACAAAAACTCTCCGATCACACTCTCAATCTCATGGCTGTTAGACGGGAGATAAAGCTACATTCTTCAACAGATTTGACAGCATACAGGCAACTGAACAGACAGATCTCCAAATGCATACGGCGGGACTTACGCAACTTCAATACCGCTTGTATTGAAGAAGCGATCGAGCGGAACCAAGGCTCCAAAGTCTTTGCCAGAGATCTGTCTGCCAGGAAGAGCCAACTGTCAAAGCGGAAGACCGAGTGTGGCAGCATCGTTTCCGGGACACCTGAGATTTTGAGTGAGATTGAGAGGTTCTATGGGCAGCAGTACACGTCGTCGTTGGAGCCACACGCAAGTGTGAGTAACGATTCAAGACCGAGTCTTATCCGACACTATTCCGAAGATATCCCGGACGTCAGTCTGAGCGAGATTAGAATGGCTCTCCAGCACCTTAAAAACGGCATTACATCGGAGGCGTGGAGCAGAAGTGCGGTGGTCTTGTTCTTTAAGAAAGGTGACAACGCTCTCTTGAAGAACTACAGACCGATTTCCCTTCTGAGCCGCGTCTACGTGCTGTTTTCGAGAGTCATTACGAATCGTCTCGCGCGCAGATTTGGCGACTTCCAGCCTCCCGAACAAGCCGGTTTCCGAAAGGGCTTTAGCACCATAGACCACATACATACCCTTCGGCAAGTTGTACAGAAGTCCGAGGAGTACAATTTGCCACTATGTCTGGCGTTTGTGGACTATGAGAAAGCCTTTGATTCCGTCGAAATTTAGGCGGTGCTGCAGTCCCTTCAGCGGTGCCAAGTTGACAGTCGGTATATCGAAGTGCTGAAGTGCTTGTACAGTAGGGCTACAATGGCTATCCGAGTACAGAACCAGAGTACGAAACCTATCCAATTGCAGAGAGGTGTAAGACAGGGTGACGTCATATTACCGAAACTCTTCACCGCTGCATTGGAAGACGTTTTCAAGCTTCTGGACTGGAAAGGATACAGTATTAACGTCACCGGCGAGTACATCACTCACCTTCGATTTGCCGACGATATAGTCCTTATGGCAGAATCGCTGGAGGATCTAAGCACCATGCTCAATGACCTTAATAGTGTCTCCCAACGGATAGGTCTTAAGATGAACATGGACAAAACAAAGATCATGTTTAATGTCCATGTCACACCTATGCCGGTAGTTGTAGTGAGCAATAAACTCGAAGTTGTTCACGAGTATGTTTACCTGGGACAAATAGTCCGACTAGGTAAGTCCAACTTCGACCGAGAGGTTAATCGACGGATTCAACTCGGCTGGGCAGCGTTCGGGAAACTACGACACATTACACGTTAGACATACCTCAAAACCTTAAAACGAAATTGTACAACCAGTGCGTGTTGCCAGTGATCACTTACGGATCTGAGACGTGGTCCGTCACTACTGGCCGTATGAGGAAGCTCAAGGTCGCTCAGCGAGCTATGGAGAGGGCTATGCTCGGGGTTTCTCTGCGTGATAAACTTAGAAATGAGGATATCCGCAGTAGAACCAGAGTAACCGACATATTAACAGTGGTAGAGCCACGCGGCAGCTTTTGCTGTCGCACGGATGGGATGGCTCGAACCGGGGTGGTACCACGACCTCACAGAATACCAGCGTGAAGTAGAGGTTTACCTCTGCGTTTCGCTTGGTGAGTGCAGGTGGCCGGAGGCCCTTTTTACTAAAAATGAGGCATTCCATCTTAGTCCTCACGGGTGACAAGTGACAACGCATCTGCATTTTGATTCGCAAACGAGGATAGATGTAGACGTCTATGGGCCACAGCAACCACTTACCATCAGGTGGACTGTGTGCTCGTTTGTCACCCTTATACTATAAAAAAAAACATAGCCCAACGGATTAGTAAGCTGAAGTGGCAGTGGGCCGGCCATATAGCTCGAAGAACCGACAACCGATGGGGAAGAAAGGTTCTAGAGTGGCAGCCTCGTACCGGTAGGCGAATTGTAGGGCGACCCCCCACGAGATTGAGTGACGACCTGGTTAGACATGCAGGAAGTCGATGGATGCAGGTGGCTCAGGACCGTGCTTTGTGGCATTCCTTGTTTGCATTGCCTATGTTCAGCAGTGGACTTATGAAAGGCTGCAATGATGATGATGATGACTGAATGTACGTACCTATGTCTTCGTAATAACGTAATATTAGTGGTTAGAAATGTAATATTTCGTTTTTAATATAGTAAGTCTTAATATTTGTCGATAAAACTAACTTGGCAAAGTTACAGCATACTAGTGATTTCACGATGTGACGGTTACTTTGCCATGTTTTGCTACAACCAAGGGTTGTCACTTTTAGTTTATATTTTGACCCTACTATGGCGATTCAAATTATCAATCTATGTATATATGTTTGTATAGATGTTTCACCGTAGCCGACTATTGGACCGATTTTATTAAAAGAAAAAGAAAAGAAAAGAGAAATCTATATTATTTTACTGCGTTGTCGGGTATTAATAATATTATTACTTTTTCATATTTTAATAAAGTATTAATATAATTTGCACCCAAAGAACAGTGTCATTTTAATCGCTTACTTATACATTAACTAATTTGGCTATTGTTGGAAATCTAAATTTAGGTTGTTTATAAAAAAAAATCCTGATCTTAACAAAATGATATCACTTTAGGAAAATGGGTCACCAAAGTATACGTAAATTAGGAAGTAGAACATATAAAAATTGCTCAGAAGAAATGCTGAATGTCGCCGTCAACTTAGTATTACCAAAAGAGATATCTTCTATGGAAGCGGAAAAACGATTTTACATACCAAGACGTACGTACAATAGAAAATAAAGTTAAAGGGCTTCATATCCTTTCGCCTGATGCACCGCAGAGATTAATTGAATCTGAAAAAATACACATTGATAAAGTTTTGATTGTGGCAAGTGAGTTCGGATCACCATTGCGTCGCCTGGATTTACGCACGAATTTCTTGATAGTGACGATGACTCTAGCAAAGAAAATTATTCATAATTATTCTTATGTTTATTTATTTACAATTATAGAGAATTTAATTAAAAAAACGTATACCGCCTAAAAATTGTTGTGAAAATATTGAAATAAAAAAAGTAAACTACGTAATTAAGATTTTCGACAAACCCTGACACATCTTCAAGTTTGTATGAAAATTGAAAAATGAGAGGGCAACTTTGCCACAAGAGTAAACTTTGCTATTTACAACACAATTAAAGGAGCAAATCATAACTCTGAGTGTTGTGCATTATATTATGAGGTAAACTTACCTTCAGCCTTGAAGTCAAATCCTATTATTTTCATTATAAATCCCGATGCCAAAGTTGCCACAAAGTGAGGTTAACTTTGCCATTTTCTTTTTTTAAGTATTTTATCTATTTAATGTTATTATTTGTTTAAATAAAACCTATCTATGAAGAATATAATGTTAAGTTTAACATTGACGCCCAGTGTGACAGTAGGTACATTTTTGTTGGAAAATTGATCCAAAACTTTTAAGTCTTTCCAAAAATGGCAAAGTTGCCAGGTTTCACGGTACTTAAAATTATTGACATAATTAAAATTAATAGTGGTTTGTGGTGGTTTAAGAAAATGTTTGTGGTGGTAAAATTAATAGTTGTTTTACTAATGCCTTTCCAGTCACATAAATAGAAATAGTTGAACAGTAAAATATTAAATCAAACTCGTAATAGATAAAAATTTATTCAGTCCAAATAGTCACCAGCATTACACAATAACATCACAAAAATAAATTATATGTTACAAATATGAACAATACAGACTAAGGATAATAGACGCCTAAGGTACAAAATATGGCCAATATAGGTTTTATTGTGACGAAATTACATTTTAATAACTACGCCTATGTATTTCAGCAATTTTTTATTACTTGTAATGATATTTAGATATACATATGTGGCAATATACATGTGCGTATTATTTAAAAATAAATTGAATAGTAATGGCAGGGGTCGACACAAAAATAATATCACTCCAAAGTGGAAATTAAAGCTGTAAAAATGATGCAATTTTAGGAAGTTTTGTAAATTTATAATTTTAAACTATCATAGACAATATTCAACACTAATAATTAGTCTTCGTAATAAAAATGTAGGATAGATCACCTATTTCAATAATTCTTTCTTTTAACTTTTTAATGTATAAACATTTAATATACCTACCAGTTTTATGGAATGTAATAATATATAATATAAAATAGATAATATGCTTAATGGCACAGAGACCCATCAGATCTTACACATTACAATTAGGTCTATGTTTCATTAAACGTATGATATGAGTATTTCATACAGTATAGTACTGTATAAAGTATTTTAAGGAATCTATAATATGACCATCCATCATTTATATATTCAATATATTTTACTTAATCTTTTTTCCTCTACTTTTGTTAATAATCGGTAAAACGATGCAATCGATCACCACAATAATTGTAAATATATTAGGTCAATACTTTATAATGGGTTTTATAACCTTATATAAACAAGATACAATTTTAATTATTGCTTTCAAAATAGGGTTTAAAGTTGTATGTACATATACACAATATATGATTTTGACAATGCTGTTAGGATTTGCTTGGTCTAGAGTAATCTTCGGGAGTACTCGTAAACAGGACGGTGAAGACCCATAAATGGAGACCGATCTGGAGACCCAACAATATGAACAAATTATTATTACATAGTAGGCTGACTGATGACAGATATTTGTTTACAAATAGCAGAGGCGGATTTAAAATGTTAAGCTTGGACGAACTAAGAACTGCAGGTGTCAAATAATCTTTAACCAAGGAAAAACAAACATTGTGTTGGGGTTGTTATAATCTAATTTGCTTGATTCCGCGTAAAGAAAGATAGAAAATGATGTGTCCTGCCTAGATTTAAGGGTACCTCCCACCCTCCCTCAATCTCGCGCACTATACCCGTCGCCGTCAATTTCAGCACTACCATCCCCAGCACCACCACACAAGGCACGACACACCACTCTCGAAAATACGACAAATGTTTCGCCTCTACACGAGGCATCCTCAGGTGAAGTAGACTCTGCGGAGGCTGGCCGCAAGTCAGTGGGTTACGTATATACTTACTTAGTAAATTTTACGATCTGAGCTGACCGCGCGACTTATTCACTTTGGTGTAATGAGGACCATTTTGGGACAATTTTAGTGGCGTCATTCTAACGCGTGGTCCGCCCAGTCCTCACGCATAAATATATCAATCAATGAATGTAAACTTAAAATTACTCATAGTGTCTTAGAAAACCTGTGTCTTTAAAAGAGACTATCTGCCACAATCGGGTAGTTTTACAAAGCCGAAATTTGTAGAGCGTTGTCACTGTCACCTTTCGTAAGATGCCTCGTGTAAAGGCGCAACACCTGTCGTATTATCGACGGTGGTGTTTTTCCTAGTTATTGGGAGTAGTGGTGCTGGGATTGTGCACTCAATAGAAGGAGGGCGGGAGCTGCTTTTCAAACTAGGTAAGACACATTGTTTTTTTACTACGCGGAACTTACCTAATTAATTTTTAACAACTTTAATATCATTGATTTCCACAAAGTAACACCCGATTCTATTAATTAATACGGAAAACGATTTAGGCAAGTATTCGGACGACCGTATATTTACTTTTTAAGTCAATATTTACATTACATCGTAATATAATGTGTGTATTTAAGCACACGTAATATATGATGTGTTTAAGTATACTTACCATATAAAAAATGATAAACACCCGAAATATTGGGTACCGCTTACTCAGTACACCGATGCGTAGAGCCAGCTTGGCGAGCGTGGTGGCAGGCGAATAATGGTTCGTTCGCGAACGTGGGCGAACGTCGCCATCTTGCACTTGAACTATGCTGTGAGAGTGATTTGCTCGGAGAGCAGCTAATTCGGCCTTATGCTTTGACTATAGAAAAGAGTAAAGATATTTGAAAACTGTTTACAAAATACTTTATATACGCCAAAACAAAAATAAATAAAAATGCATCGTACCGACAACTTTTCTAATTGTATCTTGAGTGTATTGTTATCGGCCAAGAGTGATTCGATTTTTTCTTGTTTTTGGACCAACGTTTGTGTTAGATATTGTATTTTCTCCTTATCCATCGCTACCTGAATTAAAGAACAATAACTATATTAATATTGAGTTTAAAAAAATACGTTGCTATTCGATCTGGACAGGCGTCAACTAACTATGACACTAATAGTTATAGTTTTTTTGCGGTTTTGTTGAGTAATTTAGTAAAATCATTAACGATTTTATTAAATCACTAACTGTTCCCCGCGACTTCGCCCGCATGTAATTTAAGGTTTTAATTATTTTGCGCGGAACCCCAATTCTTTTTCTAAAATAAAATTAGCCTAAGTTACTCCTTATAACATCAGGTATCTGTCGGTGAAAGTCCCATCAAAATCGGTCTCCCCATTTCGGATATTAACCGGAACAAACAGACAGACAAAATTTTTAAGTATTGTTTTTGTTATAAGTATCGTATACACTCTCATATGCATTTAATAAAAAGCTGTTATTTTGACATTACAAACAGACACTTCAATTTTATTTATTTGTATAGATTACATATTGATTCTATTAAATTACATAACAAAAGTAAAATCAATATCAATAGCATCTACGCTGCATTGTAATGGTGTAAACTAGTTTTGGATGTCGCGGACAAATGCTCAAGGTCAATTATATAAGGACGTATATCACAAAGATGTGCCGTAACAAATATCCATACCTGTGCTACATCATAGTCCGCCACATTAAGTGCACTGGTGTCTGAAGTGGGCGGTGAACTGGTTTCACGAATATTGCTCAACTCTTCCTCTTTTTCTTGTAATGCTGACCGCAAGTTGGCGATAGTGTGACTCATTTCAGTATGCATTTCTCTTAGTTCCTAGAAAGAAATAAAAAAATGAAGACTATTTTTGCACTACGGGTATTGTAGAGTTTAACTTCTGCGTTGTTTTTTATTTCATAATTCGCTATATGATGATGACGGCAGCGTACATTATTTGTCACCCAACCCGATAAAATTGACTTAAGATATGGGATAAAATATAAGTCAAATTACCATCGAAAAATTTTCGAAACGAAAAAAAAAATTAAGATCAGTTTTTCACAAGAAGGATCAGTTTTTGTCTTAGTTTGAAAAATTGTTTATCACTGCCTAAATTTCAAATCCAAGTCTTCACCAACTTACGAGTATATAACTTAAATTAAAAAAAAAATTATAACCCCCAAAAATATATAAATTATAAAAAAGCTTATCAAAATCGGTTCATCCGTTCAGGAGCTATGATGTCACAAATCGATACACAGATACAGACTACAAACATATAACACCTTTATGTTTTCGTCAGGGGTTAAAATTACAAGAAAAAACAACGACCGGAAACAATAACAGAGATACAAGACAAAATGGAAAACTTTCATGTCCAGCAACGAATTGTTTAATAGCTGGTAATATGTATATATGTATGTATGTGTGTATATGGGCCGGCTCAAGCCGGGGTGGTACCACGACCTCACAGAATACCAGCGTGAAGTGGAAGATTTGCTTCTGCGTTTCGTCTAGTGAGTACAGGAGAACCAATCCCCCCCCCCCCCCCCCCAGTCAACATGGTAACGGAATTAAATGTAAAATCGGCCATCATTGCCCTTAGCGGATATCTTTGCCCGAACACGACAAATAACTTAAATCTTGGATTGTAAATAAATTTACACAGCTGACAACATTTTTCCATATTTAGCGTAAATTAGAATATTTTTTTTGCAACACTAAATGCTCGTGACGTTACAAAGTTCACTCAGTTGTCGGCAAGACATGTCGGAAGTAGGACTAGTGTGAGGTGGTGCAAAAATCTTGTTTTACGTTTTTTCACACTGTCAGCGTACGACATCTCTCAGGTAAGTTATTTTAAGTTTAGTGTTACAATAAGTGCTACGCTTCATTTCTATGCTAGTTTGAGACCTTTAAATTATACAATTTTCAAGATAACGGGGTGGGCAATGATTCCCGAAGTTGCGTGAACACAGGAGTGATAACATTGCCCACTTCAAAAATAGTGTTAGGTTTGGCACCCATACTTAATATAAAATCTGTTTTTATTTTATATTTACGGTTGTATGATTGTCATGGTGTGGTCGTGTGATGCGGGAAAATGATGAACATGTTACGACGACAGTTTGATCGGCCAAAAAAACAAAGAATGGATTGTTTTAAAGATGATTTGGCAAGAAAGAGGGTGAATACTGATATGATGGCAGATAAATACAATACAAAAAATGTTTGTGTATTGTAGTGTCTATGTCTCAATAACTAGTCACTTTGTTGAAAAACAGAAACTATAGTTTAGAATGTTTTTTTGCAGTATGGGAAAGCCTATTAAAAGAAGAAATCGCAGAGTCCTCGGGTCTCGGCCATATAAAATTTATTCAGAGGAGATGCTGCACCTCGCAGTAGAAAATGTTAAAGAAAATAGGATGTCCTCTAGAACAGCCGAAAAAACATTTGGTATACCTAGGCGTACCATCCTAAACAAAGTGAAAGAGTGCCATAACAAAAATGTTGGAACTCCTACTCGACTCTCTTTCCAAGAGGAAAAGAGTATTGTTCAAACATTGATTGCAGCCGGCGAATATGGTTACCCACTAACGAAGCTTGATTTACGTTTGACCGTTATTGAATATCTGAAAAAAAATAATCGTGAAATTTTATTTCATGGAAAATCACCAGGCAAAGACTGGGTTACAAGTTTTCTTGATCGGCATGCAGGTGAACTTTCTGTTAGAAGTACGCAAAATATTAAAACAGCGCGGGCTCAAAAATGCGCGAAGGATTTCTTAGAATATTTTCAGAATTTAGAAGAAACTATAAGAGATGTTCCTTCATCTAATATTTTATATCTAAATGAAACTAACCTAAGCGACGACCTAGGTTCTTCTAAGTGCATATTTCGCAAGGGTGTAAAATATCCTGAGCGAGTCCTTAACTCCTCAAAAGGCGCCATTTCGCTAATGTTTTCTGCGGCAGCCAACGGTACTAGTCTTATCTCCTTATGTGGTATATAAGGCAGACAATTTATATTAGGAATAGATTCAAGGAGGCCCTCGTGGTGCAAGATACAACCGAACATCATCCGGATGGTTTGATTCCACAATATTTGAAGATTATTTTGAAAATGTTGTATTGACATGGGCAGGGAGTTTGTGTGGTAAAAAAGTAGTCATATGTGACAACTTGTCCAGTCACTTAAGTTTAGGCGTCATTGAGTTATGTCAGGATCACAACATTTCTTTTATGTTTATTCCTCCTAATTCTACACATATCACCCAACCCCTTGATGTGGCTTTTTTTGCGCCCCTTAAAAAAGCCTGGCGCAAGATCTTATTACAGTACAAAATGGAAAACCCAAATCAAACGGCAATCAACAAAAACCACTTCCCGAAATTGCTTACGCAATTGATTAAAACAATTGAAATGAACGAGGTACAAAACATAAAAAGCGGCTTTAGAGCCTCTGGGATATATATACCCCTTTTAATCCACGTGAAGTTTTGAAAAGAATCCCAGAATGTGCCAAAGAAATGGGCAATACTCATAATATTGACAGTGCTTTATTAGAATATTTAAAAACTACCAGACAATCTAAACCATTGACATCAAATAGGAACAGGAAAGTCAGTTATAGTTGATGATATTCAAAACCTGACTAAAGACACTGAGAAACGTCCCGCAAAAAACAAATCTGCTGTAATAAGTAGTACCGCTGTTCAAAAAGCTAAAAACCAGATATTGAACGATACACCTTCAACGGCAAGTGTCGGCAAAGAGAACCAAATTTTAGATCAATTCAAAGACGAACTAGACTTCTGTGATAACTTCTCTTTATCATTCTTGGCAGACAAAAATAGCGTCAACGAAAATGATACAATTGATGATATGATAGGAAATAATGACGAATACAATATAAACACACATACAACAGAAGATCAAGCTTTACCAACTTTTACTGAAATTGACATATTAGACGAAAAAAACGGAACTTTACTCTCACAAATTACACCCACATTATGTGAAATAAATGTTTCAAGCGGTATCATCATTCGTGAATGTGCTCGGACAAATATTATTTTGAAACCAAAGAATCATGATTCGTGTAAAGAAAGCACTAACCTATTGAAAACTGAAAAACAAAAACCAAAGATTGTATCTTATGTAACTGTACCGTCCACAAAACGTGCGTCAAATATTATTTACCAAAGCGATTATGATAAAGAAAATATTGAAACTAGACAAACGATAGCAAAACAAAATGATTTTTCTTTTTACACAGAACAGTCTAGAAATATTTAAACAAAAGCGGAAAAAATTAAAAAAAAACAAAAACTTCCAATGTTAAGCTGCGACCAAAGAAAAAAGAAAAGACTTTAAAGTTTCCAAAGAAAAAAATATGAAAGGGTTAAACAAGAAGTTGAAACGAAGAGACAGTAAATCAAGCAACAGTGATATCGATATGAGTATTCACAGTGATTCAGATATATGCAGAATTGTTTCCGATCAAGATGAGCCAGGTTCTCCTTTAGATGCTTATGATTCTAATTTATCTATAGGCAGTGAGAACAAAGTAGCACTAGGAAAGGTGTCGACTATCACAAAAACAGGTTCTAATTTATGTTTGAATGAACCACTTGTTCCTGTAACAGTAGATCATTTTTCAGAACCAGGGAACTCGACTAATTCAACGCGCGAAGAAGTTTCTGTAGAGTATAAAGTAGGCGAATATGTTTTGGTTAGTTACTTTTTTACAAAAAAAGTGGATTATTACGTGGGAATCATTTTAGACAAGCCAAAAAATGGCAAGTTGAAAGTATCTTTCTTAAGAAAAGTCGGCAAAAATGACAACTCAAAATTTATAAAAGTAAAATCACCGGATATCGAAGTAATAGACTGTAAGAATATTGTCAAGACTGTTGAGCTTCTAGCAATTTCATTACAGTCTTTCATAAGTCTACTGCTGAACATAGGCCTCCCCCAAGGAATGCCACAAAGTACGGTCCTGAGCCACCTCCATCCATCGACTTCCTGCATGTCTTACCAGGTCGTCACTCCATCTCGTGGGGGGTCGCCCTACACTTCGCCTACCGGTACGAGGCTGCCACTCAAGAACCTTTCTTCCCCATCGGTTGTCGGTTCTTCGAGCTATATGGCCGGCCTACTGCCACTTCAGCTTGCTAATCCGTTGGGCTATGTCGGTTACTCTGGTTCTACTGCGGATATCCTCATTCCTAAGTTTATCACGCAGAGAAACTCCGAGCATAGCCATAGCTCGCTGAGCAACCTTGAGCTTCCTCATACGGCCAGCAGTGAAGGACCACGTCTCAGTTCCGTAAGTCATCACTGGCAACACGCACTGGTTGTACAATTTCGTTTTAAGATTTTGAGGTATGTCTGACGAGAAGATGTGTCGTAGCTTCCCGAACGCTGCCCAGTCGAGTTGAATCCGTCGATTGACCTCTCGGTCGAAGTTGGACTTACCTAGCCGGACTATTTGTCCCAGGTAAACATAGTCGTCAACAACTTCGGGCTTAGTGCTCCCAACAATTACCGGCATAGGTGTGACATGGACATTAAACATGATCTTTGTTTTGTTCATGTTCATCTTAAGACCTATCCGTTGGGAGACACTATTGAGGTCATTGAGCATAGTGCTTAGGTCCTCCAGGGATTCTGCCATAAGGACTATATCGTCGGCAAATCGAAGGTGAGTGATGTACTCGCCATTGATGTTAATACCGTATCCTTTCCAGTCCAGAAGCTTGAAAACGTCTTCCAATGCAACGGTGAAGAGTTTCGGGGATATAACGTCACCCTGTCTTACACCTCTCTGCAATTGGATAGGTTTCGTACTCTGGTTCTGTACTCGGATAGCCATCGTAGCTCTACTGTACAAGCACTTCAGCGCTTCGATATACCGACAGTCAACTTGGCACCACTGAAGGGAGTGCAGCACCGCCCAAACGACGGAATCAAAGGCTTTCTCATAGTTCACATACGCCAGGCATAGTGGCAAATTGTACTCCTCGGACTTCTGTACAACTTGCCGAAGGGTATGTATGTGGTCTATGGTGCTAAAGCCTTTTCGGAAACCGGCTTGTTCGGGAGGCTGGAAGTTGTCAAGTCTGCGCGCGAGACGATTCGTAATGACTCTCGAAAACAGCACGTAGACGCAGCTCAGAAGGGAAATCGGTCTGTAGTTCTTCAAGAGAGCATTGTCACCTTTCTTGAAGAACAGGACCACCGCACTTCTGCTCCACGTCTCCGGTGTAATGCCACCACGGAGGACGGAATTAAAGAGTCTCTGAAAGACTTTCAGTACCGGTTTTCCACTCGCTTTCAGAAGCTCCGCTGTAATTCCATCCTCGCCTGGTGCCTTGCTGTTTTTAAGGTGCTGGAGAGCCATTCTAATATCGCTCAGACTGACGTCCGGGATATCATCGGAATAATGTCGGATAAGACTCGCTCTTGGATCGTTACTCACACTTGTGTGTGGCTCCAACGATGACGTGTACAGCTGCCCATAGAACCTCTCAATCACACTCAAAATCTCAGGTGCCCCGGAAAAAATGCTGCCACACTCGGTTTTCAGTTTTGACAGTTGGCTCTTTCTGGCAGACAGATCTCTGGCAAAGACTTTGGAGCTTTGGTTCCGCTATTCAATACGAGCTGTATTGAAGTTGCGTAAGTCCCGCCGCATGCATTTGGAGAATGGTCATGGTCTAACAGCCATGAGATTGAGAGTGTGATCGGAGAGTTTTTGTGTTCTTCTGCGGCGGGTCTTGCAGAACTTAGCTCCGACCGCATGGATAGTTTCCACGAGCTTGTCATTCATATCGTCCACTTCATTGCAGTCTTCTAGGCACTGAAAACGGTTTTGTAATTCGAGCTGAAAGGTTTCGGGACTTTGGAACAGAGCACGAGGGGGACGGAGCGTTGACTTCATTAGACAAGACCTATCCAACTTAAAGTTTTGGTTCAGTGTGCCTTTAACCATTCGGTGATCGCTACCAGTTTTCACCCTCGCGATCACTGAGACATCACTGAACAGTTGTCGTCTGGTCGTCATAATCAATCTCATTTTTTGTGGAACCGTCGGGGCTCGACAAGGTCCACTTCCTGTGGGGCCGCTTCTGGAAGAAAGAGTTCATCATAAAGAGTCCCTCTTTCTCCATGAAGTCGGCCAGCTGCTGGCCCCTTGGCTTCCGTTGCCCTATTCCAAATTTCCCTACTTTCAGCTCACCGTTCTCTCTTGTGCTTAATTTTGCATTGAAGTCTCCCATTAACACCGTATATTGGGTTATAATATCTACTACACGATTAAAATGTATAAAACAGCTGATTTTTTTAGAAAATTTTTGAGTAGTACTGTGTTATGTAAAAGTATTTTGTTTGCACACTATATTTATAAGTAATTTTTTCTTTCTTAGGTTAGTTATTTGTTTCTCTGTGTCCTGGAAGCGTTGAAAGTTTTTTTCTTTCTAAGATTTTTGTCGGAAACCTTTCCGGGCACAAAGCGCTTAATACTTATAACTGCAATGTATAACTATTGTACCTGACTGATTTTTAATACAAAAATTTATAAAATGAAAAGATATTATTATTTATCACATTATGTGACAACCCTAAGCCACCGTTTTAGTTTGTAAGAAAATGTAGCTGGTGTATAGTATAACATGCCCACCCAAGTGAAATAAAAAAATAAAAAGTTTTTGACATTTAGATCAAGAAGAATATCAACTTTGCATAATTTACCATAACATACTTTATTTCCAAAGCCTTAGAACTGATAGTTTTAGAAGAAATAAGGCTGAGCAATGTTGTGCGTATAAATTTGCCCTGCTATTTAAATGAGTTTTTCTTTAATTCTGTTGAAGCCAGGTGCTCAACATTATGCGATTTAAAGCCTTTAATAGTAATTGCTATACTGATCAACTAATAAAGTTTTAATCTATTTATTTAAAATATGAAAGATTTTTAGTATTGATGTGGTCACTATAAGATGTTGTTTGGTTAGCTAATTACGTAATAACTTAAGACAGAAGGACCCTTAAGTAGGGACTGAATAAATTAACCGACTTGGTATTACATGGATCTCACAACTTTTTACGGTAGAAGAACTGAATTGTGAGACTTGGTTTTTTTTTACAAGTTATGTTTTTGATGGCATCTCAATATTTCTTATCCTGTCAGTCAGTTTAACTCCTATCATACTTGTACTGTAATTATACTGAGTATATTCTTCAGACCGTAACACAGATGTGCAAGCTCTGCTGTTTGGAAGCAAAAATAGATAAGAGGGTACCTACCCAGATGTACCTTGGACAGAAAAGGAGTGGGGCAGATAAGGAGTTCTACCACCTAGAAACTTCTGTACAATACCAGCTTCTGTTAACACAAAATGAAAAAATCTCATCTTTCAAGTAATGCATCATATAAAATATTCTTGGCTAGAACCAGCTGTTGGATACATTCCAACAGATAATTCTAAAAAGGCTTATAAAGTAAGTTTTCTTGTAATACACACTTTCCCCAACGTAACACACTGCATCTCAGCTCTGCTCCTAGCAGACCGCTCTTCCTTCAGCGCATCTCTCAATGCAAGCACAATTCGCTGAGCTGCAGTGTGTCGTGCTTCCATTTCCGACATTGACTCTTTGATATTTTCACTTTCTTCCTTTACTCTAGATATGGCTACTGACAGTTCCTCACGTTCCTCCCTAAAAATTAATAAAGACCCATTACTGACAGAAGTGATTATTATCAAAAAGTTCATTTATTCATATATTTTAGCCTATATAAAGCCAGAAACTTAGGCCTCTTTTATAGATTAGATTACCTCATAGGAGGGTATTTGCCGTAACTGCTGGCAAAGCAACTGCGGTTTTTTTATTCTTATGAGTTATTATCAGGAAGATACTGCTGCCCATCTCCTGATTCAAAATCGAGAGATTGTTTAGCCGTGGACAGAGGTATTGCCTGTTGTGACACCCACAGGATGATATGGGATGAATCAGAAATAATTTGTTCTCAGACAAATGTTACCTAGGACTAAAATTGGAACTACTTAAACAAATTATATTTACGCAACAAATTTTTGGCATAAATATAATCTGTGTAATCAAAGCTGGAACTTTTTTTTATAGAATTACAGTGACAAACAAGCACACAGTCCACTTGAAGGTAAGTGGTTGCTGTGGCCCATAGACATCTACATCTATCCTCGATTACGAATCAAAATGCAGACGCGTTGTCACCTGTGAGAAACTAAGATGGAATGCCTCATTTCCAGTAAAAAAGGTCTCCATTTCTCTACTCACCATACGATATACAGTGGCGTTCAATTGCTATTTTACACTGGTATTCTGTGAGAGTGTGGGCCTTCCCCGGTCGAGCCGACCCATTCATGCTACAACTATACCACTAATATAGCTGCAGCATGGCTCTACCACGTCATAGAACTGATATTATATTATTATATTATAATATGAACTGGTTCCTGCAACACAGTTATACTAGCTGAGCGCTGGGAATCAATGAATTTATGTAAAAAGGTTGTGTTTATATTTGTATTAATAAAATCATAACATGTAACTAAATAATGGATATAGCTGGTTTATAATAGATTTAAGTATAGTCTTACTTTAGAACTTCGATCTGCTCAATAAGAATCTTTGTATCCTCAGTCAAATTAGTGCCTTCCCTTAATTTTTTAATTTCTTTATCTTTGGCATATAGCATGCCCTTTACCCTCAATTTATAAGATTCCCAATCTCTCTCTAAGCGCTGACACTCTAATGTGGATTTCTCTATGCTACCCTGCTGTTCACTGATCACAGCTTGTGTATGCCGTAATTCATTTTCCAATTTTAATATTGTTGACTCTTTATTACTTAATTCTTCATTAACCAATTTTAATCTGAAAACAGAGAAAACAATTTTTTTTATATTTTCTATTCACTCTATTCATTCAGTCCTAAAGAATATTGAAACATTTTTACAGCAAAAAAAATACATGGTTAAAACTAAACATCACATTCAGAAAAGCAAAACATCTAAGGACCAAAACTTATAAACAGTTCTCATAATCAGATTGAAACTTCATGTTACATTAGATGGTTGATAGTAACTCAAATACATAACAAAAATTAAGAATTCTGAGTTTTGAGCACATGCTTTAATTAATGCAACAACAATTTATTAATACAATATGGTTATAACATTTCTTACTTTTCCTCAAGCTGCCTATTATTGCTTCTGAGGAGAGTTCTTTCTGCCTCCAGTTCTTCACTGTGTTCTCTGTTCTTTACATCCATAGAATTAAGGTCTTGTATTTTGAGCTTCAAATTATCCAATTGTGATTTAAGTGACTCATTATCTAAATTTAATTTATGATTTTGAAGCTCTATGTTATTTTGATTTTTCTTTAATTGGCCAAAATCTGAAAGTTAGTAGTGTATGTATACACAAATTATTGAATACTCCCTTTTCTAAATGTCTGGGATCTTGTGCAATCTGGGAAGAATTATAAAAGGCAATCCTCAAAGGTAGTACAGAATTTCATTAGCCTGAAAACTTAACACTTTCACTGTTCGGTTTTCAGACAAAATAGTAAGACCATAGCAATGACCTATATGTAGTACACCGGACAGGGAATGGGTTAAGAATAAGGCACACAGTCAAACAAAGTATTTGTACATTACTCTGTGCAAAAATCATTTACAGTCCATATAAATATGTATAAAGAATGGGATTGGAAATGGCGGCTCATTGGGCTCATACCATCAATAAGCACAGTACCAATAGCGAAAACCCACTAATAACGATATATCATTATAACATTATAATATTCAGTTAATTTGAAATTTTCTATTAATGAAAAAATATTTGAAAAGAATTGTATACGCAAGTAGGAACATTAATTTAAAATAACATTTATAATTAGCAACCTGCTCTGGCTTTGCTTTGGCTAAATATTGACCCATAAATATAATTGCAGAGCTGCCACATATTTTTAACATCAGCAGTATCCACAGAGCTAGACATCCTAACTATGTGAGATTGATGTGGGACATTACACACTAAACGATCACAAACATATGGGACAAGTTGCCACAAAATGCCGTAGATGCTCCCTCTGTGATAAGTTTTTAAAACTAACTGGACAAATGGTTCAAACATTCAATTTAGGCTGGATTTAGTGCTCGATCGACAGTGAGTGCTGACGTCGGTTGAGGGTAGCTATATCAATGAAAATATACAAGCAACTACAGTGCAATGCTGATGAATTGTTACGCGCGTACAGTTACGTTGCGCTGACGAGCACCGTTGGTCAACCTCGTAGGTCCCGTCGGTCGACAGACGAGCTATGGCAATATATACGCGCATTCAGTGCAATGCTGAACCGAGCAACCAGGCGTACGTGCATGTGTAACATCGCAAATACAATAAGTATAAATACCGATCGCATTATTTCTGACGTATTACGTCTTTGGCCACCACTATGGCACCTCTCTTGCAATCTGTACAAAGACCATGATGTGAAAATAAAGTCTTGGCAAGAAGTTTGTCAAGAGTTAACAAATGGATTAATTTTTCTTTGCAAACGTACACGTCCAATCAAGTTTGTTGTCAGCTTAGCACTAAACACACCACGGTCAAGCTCTAAATGCTTACCTTCGGTCAAGCTCTAAATCCAGCCTTATTGTGGACTTGGCCTAATACAAAACCCCAACACAGGTATAGGCATATCAGCTATAAGCTGTTCGCCTATTACCACATAGTAATAATAATGTGATAGTGGCAACATAAGAGAATCTACTTTTTTTTATAACTTGTCAAAAGTAAATGCTATAGAGAACTTATGGCCATTAAAGATGATGCTATAACCATTTTGCATATCAAATTAAAAATACCCAAATTAGTACAAGACATCTTATACTTTATTTGCCAATCACCTAGTAAGGTAATTTTAGCAATTTTTGGATACTTATAGAAAAGGTACAAATTCAGTGTACTAGTTATGGCACATGAAGTAATAAAATGTATAACAATGTACAACTAACCATCCTCAGTTTTTCTCAAACGATCTGACAATTCAGTAATTTCTCTATTCATGACATTTATTTCATTTTTTAGCATTGCATTTTCCACCTCAAGGTTTTGCATTTTGTATAAATTACCACAGTTTAAAGCCTCCAAGTCACCTGGAAGACTGTTTCCTTAAAAAGAGACAGTTAATATATGAATTACATTTTTAAATATGATATGAATATTATGTCAATGACATAGTAAATATAACTAAGCCCTACTCCTTCTTCTCAATCCATTATGTTCCACGCCTGTATCACCTAACTTCACATTATCAAGGGACATCTTAGCAAAATTATTTGTTGTATATTTGGGACTCGTTTTTATGGCTGGAGATTTTTTCTTTATCTGATCTTGTACATTGTTTTCACTTTCTTTGGCATGTGAATTTAGCTGACTGAATTTTTTAGGAGGCACAGGATTAGATCTTGAATCTGAAGACATTTTTTTTGGTGCTTGTGGTAGCACACGTTTCTTTTGCGCCCATGGTCTATCAGGATGCGGTACAAAGTCATGTTTCTTCGATTTTGTTACGCTATGGTTTCGCAGAGCCACACCGGTCTGTTCATCTAAGTTGTTAAGAAGCGTCTCCGCCTTATCGGCGAGGTCTGCAAACCATGACATTGTGAATGTTTACGTTGAACCTAAAACAAATTCAATTCCAAAAATGCTGTAGAGTTCAGTAACAAGTTTAAAATATGTATACATAATTATGTATTCATTATATTATAGAGGAAAATTAATAGTCTTTCTACCGTGCATTAGAAAATGTGATATCGAATTTATTAAAACTTTTTAGGCAAAATTAAAAATTTTCACTCATTGCAAATTTTTACTTTTGACATTGACAGTTGTGACTTGTGTATACAATACAATGTACCTACTTCCTGTATAGGACAGTTACTATACTCTTTGGTGTACCTACTCTGTGCGTGACACTGACACGTAATAACGCATAGAGATATAAATATACTTCTAAGTATTTGTTAAGTATCTTTTACTAACCGCAGATTCATGTTTCACACAAAAAATTTCGCCTCCTACCAAAATTTGTTCTCCCCCATGGTGGGATGAGGAATGCACACTCAGTGTTAAAAAACGAAAACAAGCTGAACGTCTATACTCCTCCAATATGTCTATTGAAAACTTTTTAAATTATAAAAAAATAGCTGCCCATACATTAAAACTGTTAGCACATAAAAAAAAGACGGGTTGGCTTAGGTTTTGTTAAAATCTTTCACCCCGCTCTCCTGCTTCTATATTATGGAAGAATATAAAGAAATTCCGCGGATCATATAACGTTGATAATTATTCACCGCAATGTGATTCCTCTATTTGGTACAATTTATTTGCCGATAAGCTTGCTCCTCCATGGGTTCCCTCCTTTGAGGAATTATGTTATTGTGAACCATTGATAACCCAACCTGGAGTAAACATTAATAATTCACGTTTTAATGAACTTTTCTCCAATGAAGAATTTGAATTGGTTGTTCAACACCTTAAAGATTCGTCACCAGGAATAGACGGAATTCCATACTCATTTATTTCTAACGCAGGATCAAAACCTAAGAAAATGTTTCTAGACTTAATCAATGACATATTTATTACGGGAATAGTCCCTAATGATTGGAAAATGCAAATTATTATCCCCATCTTAAAACCAGACAAAAATCCTAGTGATGGTAATACTTACCGCCCTATAGCACTATCATCAACTCTGTGCAAAATAATGGAGCATTTAATTAAAAACCGTCTAGAATGGTTTGTTGAAAATAAAGGTCTCTTGGCCAAAACACAGTTTGGATTTCGAAAGGGACTGAGCACGCTTGATAGCTTGTCTGTTTTTACCTCTGATATACGCTCGGCTTTTTCCAGAGAAGAATCGGTTGGTGCTGTTTTTCTAGATGTATCATCAGCCTATGATAACGTTGTCCTCCCTTTACTCAAAGAAAAGATGTTCCTTTTGGATATTCTCCATAGAATTACTCGCATTATTTTTAATTTACTTTCAGTTAGGTCAATATGTATAAGAGTTCAAGGAAAACTGCTCCCTCCTAGACAGATATGGCGAGGCCTCCCACAAGGTTCTGTTTTAAGTCCTATTTTATTTAACATATACACCCATAATCTCGAACATTCTGTTAACTCCTTTTGTAAAGTCTTACAATATGCTGACGATCTAACTCTTTATTACTCTTCTAAGAACTTTGCAGACTTGAGTTATCGTCTTAACTCTGCATTGTTCTACTTAAATAATTGGCTTACTAATAACGGTCTATCCTTATCACCTACAAAGAGTAGAGTAGTAATATTTTCTAGAAAAAGATTTTGTCCCAATATTTCAATCTCAGTACAAAATCAAATAATTCCGACAAGTGATAATGTTAAATTTCTAGGTGTTTTTCTGGATTCTAAGATGACAGGTATTCCTCATTTAACGTTCATTGCCCAAAAATGTGAAAAGAATGTAAATATCCTTCGTTCACTGACAGGTGTTTGGTGGGGATCTCATCCATATTGTTTAAAACTTTTATATAACGCTCTAATCCGTAGTTATTTTGACTATGGTACATTTCTTTTGGAACCTTGTAATAAACAAGCTCTTAACCTTTTAGATAAAATCCAACTCAAGTGCTTACGAATTATTTTAGGGGCCATGAAATCATCTCCATCAAATGCTCTACAAGTTGAATGTGGTGAACCTCCTCTTTACCTACGTAGACAGTATCTTGCCGATCGCTTTATATATCGAATATTTCAGCTATCTTCACACCCCCTGCTTTCTAAACTGCATTCTTTAAACTCTGGTTTGAAGAATAACAACTACTGGACTCATAAAGACGTTCCCTGTATTCTTAAAAGCTACCAAAAGATACTTACCTTCAAATTTCCCATATTTCAAAGTATGATTAATCCTCTATTCGTACATCCATTTGAATCTTTATGTTATCACCCTCCAGTTATATTAGATTTTGGTGTGACTAAAAATTCCCCTGTAGCCCAAGAAAAATTTCTAAGTATATTACATGAAAAATGGGAAGGCTGGTTGACTCTTTTTACTGATGCATCCAAACTCTCCGATAATAGTTTTGTAGGTTCAGCTGTCTGGATACCAAAATATAAAATTATTTTAAATTTTAAAAATACAAATGTTACTTCAATTTTCACTGGTGAAGCGGTTGCTATTTTAGAAGCAATTTTATTTATAGAAGCACATAAAATTAACAAATGTATTGTTTTTACTGACTCATATAGTTCATTACAAAGCATTTCATCTAACCCGTTTCGAAGTAAATCGAAATTCCCAATTATTTTTGAAATAAAAGATGCACTGTATAGGTGTTTTTGTCAAGGTCTTAACCTGAAACTTGCTTGGCTGCCAAGTCATAGTGGCATACGTGACAACGAATTTGTTGATTCCTTAGCAAAGCAAGCATCTACTTCTGGTACCCTCATGCATCATATAACATATACTCATGACCTTATTTCTCTTGCGAAAATCCATCAGATGTCAGATTGGAACTCTCTTTCGAAAAAAACTCAGAAGTCTATCGGTAAATATTATGCAGAACTCCAACCTGACATCCCCTCCAAACCATGGTTTTTTAAATTTAGAAATGGTTCCAAACATAGCACATCTGTCATATGTAGAATTAGATTGGGACACACTTGTACATCTGTATTTTTTGCAAAACTTAAGATTAAAGATAGCTCAATTTGTGAGTGTGGATTAGACGAAGGTACGATCGATCATAAATTTTTTAACTGCCCTAACCTCTCCGTTTCATTATACGATTTTCTTCCTAATAACATTCCTCGTCCTGTAAATCTTAAGTCTTTGTTAAATTTAGTTTTCACTCCTTTTGTTCAAACTTTATTAGATTTCATATCCATTAATAACATTAAACTATAGTACCTTTGCCCCTTACCTATATCCATATTATTATATTAGCAATAATTTTGTAAAAATATTATAATGTTAATTCATTCGAAAATAACTACATAGGTAAGTAAATTCGGAACATAAAGTTAAGCAAGCGTATCTACGGAAACGGAAACTAGTAAATACTCTGTGTGACTCTCATGAAATACTTGACGCTGGGAGTTTTGGCGGGAAATTGACCGGCGGCGGTTTGCTGCTCCTGTATTATTGTTTAAATAATGGTTTGAAGTGGACTTTGATATGTAAAAGTGTTGCGATTTTGTGTATTAAGTGTCTACGCATGTGAACTATTAGTGGAAACAGTGAAACAAGTGCTCTGATGGTGATGGATGCTCAAGATAAGCTGTTTGTTTGCATAGGCACCTTTAGATACCATCGCCAACTATAAGCTGTCTGCTGGATCAAGTTGCCGCCAAAATCTCCCAAGAACTGCACAATGTGACGCATCAACATATTGTGAAGCAGTATACTATGAAGGAGTGGGGAAATTACAATAAACCGAATAAAAATACTTAAGACTTGGCCTAAAGGTCTACCAGGCCATAAAGGACCAGGCCATAAACTCCAAAAAAAAAAATACTTGACGCTGGCAGAATCCATTGGAAGTTGCCAAATTATAAAAAAAAAATTCTAAGTAAGTGTAATAACATAAAGTAAACAAACAATTAAAAAGAAAAATGTGCATGAAAATTCTGTGTTCCAACATAGACTCAGAATATACTGACGTATAGACCAACAGTTTGCAAGGCAGACGAAAATTTCTTATATAATAGAAAAGGATAATAAATCAAATCTCATGACTCTGTAACCCATTTTGAATGATCAGATCGGCACAAGTCGGCACGCAAGAAATAGTTTCTAGATATTTTGTAATTTTTTAGAGTGTAATAGATAGTGGTTATTTTTAGTATGTAACATTTTTCCGTTCCGTGAGTGACTATGGTGTTAATGATAGAAATAATCCTGATAATTGCACATTTTACAGGTTAATTCTCAAGACCACGTCAATGTTATGACGCGTTTATTTTTAATTAAAATTTACGTAATATATTGTTTAAAATATAGAGTATATTCAATTAATTTCTTAATTTTGATATTTTGCAAAGAAAAACGTTGTTGATAATTTGCGAGAATTTGGTAAATACAGTTTTATAAAAAATATTTTACATGTACGCTAGGGATTGACTCAACTATATCAAAATTAATGTCGATACTTATCTTGAATGATTATAATGAATCGATAGACCCCACACAACAACAAAAAATGCTGAACGCATATTTGTCTGCGCCGCACGTGCCGTACGCGCCGAATTTTATAATTTTTTTTTATAGGATAAGGGTGACAAACGAGCAAACAGTCCACCTGATGGTAAGTGGTCGCTGTGGCCCATAGACATCTACATCTATCTTCGATTAAGAGTCAAAATGCAGATGCGTTGTCACCCGTGAGGACTAAGATGGAATGCCTCGTTTCCAGTAAAAGGAGTCTCCGGTTCTCTACACTCACCATACGAAACACAGCAGCGTCAAGCTGCTATTTTACGCTGGTATTCTGTGAGAACGTGGTCCTTCCCCGGTCGAGCCGACCCATTCGTGGTACAACCATAATATAGATGTAGTATGGCTCTACCACGTATGAAAATAAAATGCAGTAGGTATACGATATCGAAGGACGAATGCA